TTTTTTTTTTTTTTTTTTTTTTTTTTGGTTTAGTTTTTTGTTGGAGAGGTGTTGAGCCAGTAAATACTTCGCTGGTGGCACCTGCTGCTAAGGTTTCAGATCCAGGTGTTCCTTTTCAGGACCCAAACACAGCTGATAGATCTCAACTTCGGGTATCATTGGGTTTTCTTAGTAAAATGATAGAAAAGTATCCAAACAGGGATAGGTTTTACAACACGGTGAGTGTCCTTTTTCAAGACTAGAGGGGGAAAGAAGAAAATCTTTTCCCCCCCCAGCATTTTCTTCTTGCAAATACTAAACCAAATCACACTAGTATACTGCTGCCACGTAGTGTCTTTTTTTCCAACCTGGTTAAATTGCAACCCTCGTTGCTGATGGCTACGGGCAAAAGACTTCAGCTGCAAGACCCAGATGAGGAATGCTCACTTAGATCTCTGACCATAACTTGTAATCCTTAACAAAATGAATTGCTGGTCTAGTTAGAGACGCAGGTCAGCAGAAACACTCGCATCGCTCTATGCGCATTGACTGTCAACAGTTTTACTACTCACTTCAGCAGACCAGTTAGACCAATGCTGACCATTTTTGAAAATTCCCACTTTAGACCACTGTCCCCTGGACATGATAAGTATGTGAGATGTGAAATATTAATAGTGGTGAGTTTTTCTGTAGATTTTGCACATTTTAGTGAATAAACCTCTTCATAAAAATCTGTGCTGTAGTATGAAACATATACATGGTACAGCATCAAATGCTAGAGGGGCGATTTCTGAAAATGAGTTAAGATGTGTGAGTGATATTGAGGTTTTGGCTTCGTCATGGGTGGATATTATCTGAAAGCTTTTCTGTTCCTGAACTGTGCTGCCTGTTGGCATCTGTGTGAATATGATGTGTGGCCATTCTTTAAAATATTACTTAATATGGTTTTGTGAAGACGTATTTGTCTTTTGGTGGTGGTTTGTCTTTTAACATCTATCAGTTGTCTCTGCCGTGCAGCCTGTCTCCTGTTCATTGAAGGATGGATTCTCAGCTCAGAAGATAATTTAAAAGACGGTGATTTGTTTCTGAAGAGGGGAAAGTCAGTTTATTGAGAAATGTCCATTTATTCCTCATTCACCTTTGCTGAAATCTGGCAGCTCTTCAAAATGGTTGCTCTGTTTCACAGCACGTCTCAATTTCAGACATCAAATCTCAGCTTTCCTTCTGTCACAGTGGCAGGGAAATTGGAATTTATCAGGAAATACAATGCAGACCCAGTATTTTCTACATTTCCAGTTCCATTTCTAGTGAATGAGAACAGTTGCTCCTAACAACGTTACATCTGCAAATACAGGCTGCAGTAATCAGTTCATGTGGGTGTGCAACTTTCATATTTTAAGACAATTGTAATACAATTGCTGGGGAAAGAGGGAAAAGGGAGGCTAACATGATAACCCATTTTTTGCTGTTTTCCTCTTGATGCTACAAACTTCTAAATTTCAAAATCCAGTATCTGACCTGTGGCTTTTAGTATCAAGAGGTGAAAAACCGTCGTAATGTCTCTGTACAGCCTGGAGAAGAACCAAGCCATAACTGGACAGATACCTCAGCACCGCCACCATTTATGTACATTTAATTACATGCAGTATGAACAGTCACAGGCTGTCAGGCCAGGGAGATTCAGTAGGCAGTGAACAGACTAAGATTCAGGAGACCTCAGTTCTCTTCCCAGTGCTAAAGTGTCTTTTTTCTTCCTTTTGTGCCCCAGTTTTCCCACCTTGGAAATGGGAATAATCATGCTGACCCCCGCTTGTAAGTCCCTGCAAGACCTTCAAGTAAAAGCACTAAGACTTAGGCGCTGCTATAATTTGGGGCTCAATACTGGATTAATGCCAATAGTAATCTCAAGTATCTGGAATCCCAGGGCTCAATCTTGCCTTAAAGAGAATGGCAAAATTCCTACTGGTTTTGCTGGTACAGGCTCACATGTTTAAGTGATGAAGAGACAGGGATGCCGACTATTCCCCTCAGAAGATTCAGAGCAAAGACAGATTTTTAAATTATGTAAGTCTTGTTAGGAAGACAATGAGGTGATGGTGTGCCCCCCAGAAAAGAAAAATGGCTGCGTCATAGATGGTCCACTTCAGGAGCTTATCATTTCATCACCGCAGAGATATTGACGTCAGGTAAAATGGAGGATAATATAAAGTTACGCATATTGCCTTAAGAAGTGCATATTTTAGCTGTAAAACTGGATAATGTTTTGCAATTAAAATAAAATAAAGGCAAGCGTGACGTTCTGTTTAAGCAGATTGTCTGTATGAAGGCTTTATTGTAGCTGCAGATTTAGAGCATATGAAAAGGTTTTCTGTGCTCGGTTGCAGGATGAAAAACATTGCATCATCAGGCATTCTTGTTCTCTAACACTTCTTTGCCAGTATGCCTTTGATAATGAATGCTTGCAATTTTATTTTCTGGTGTAAAGTCATGTTTTCTCAGGTCATTATCATTCCAATTTTTAAATATCCTCTTAAAACTAGACAGAACTACAGAAAGCAATAGTAAAGCTTTGTGTCTGCTCCATGGCATGTGCTCGGCACAAGCGATCAGCTGCTGCA